GGGAGACTGGGCAAGCCAGCGGGGAAGGCAGGAGGTAGGGGGCTATGGGCACAGGGTTTGGTGCGGGGCGTTAGGGTTGGAGTATAAGGTTGCAGGGCTGGAGTCAGGGCAGAGATATGGGGGACTCTTGGTAAGGGGGAGGGGTTAAGATGTGTGGGCAGGGGGCTGGAAGGTTTGTGAGGGCACCTCAAGGCAGAAGGGGACAGAGTGAGGGCAGGGGGTGGGTTCAGGGCACAGGGTCTGATGGGGGGGCTCAGGGTAGGGAGGTGGGGGAGCAGGAGTCAGGGCAGGAGATGGAGGGGGCAGAACTCAGGAGGGAGCGGGAAGAGATTACAGGGCTTACAAGGGTGACAGTGCTGGGCTGACAACTCCTCCCGGGGGGACAGAGCTTCGCTTTCCTGGGACTCCCAGAGCCCTCCCCCCTCCTCGCAGGATGGCATCGCGGAGGTAAGTTGCTGGGGTGCAACAGCCCCTGCTGCTCAGGCAGCTCACACGCCAGCTGTCTGGGGAGGGGGAGTGCAGTTGCACGCTTCCCAGAGGTGCTGCAGGATTGCCAGGAACTGGTCCCAGCTGCCCCTGTCCCCTGCCTAGACCCCCCACAAGTACCCTGTCCTCTGCCCCCACCAACACTGTTAGAAGCACCCAGCACCATCCCGTCCCTGGACCCAGCACCCTGCCAGCTGTGCCAGCATCCTTGGGACTGACCGCATTAGTGAGGCTTGGGGGGGTGGTGGTTGGTTTTTTTTTTGCATCTCACTTGTGTGGCCCCAACTGACTTTTCTCTGCGTCAGTGACCCCTGGCTCAAAACAGGTTCCCTGCCCTGCTCATATATAAAGACAATATTAAAACCTTTTGAGTTTGACATCATATTTTATTTACAAATGAAGCCAGGCCAACAAGCCCCCAATTGGGACCAAACCCCATCTCACTGCAGCATCATAACACTCGTGCACCACCTGACCCCAAATCAGAGCCTAACACACATGGGAACCCCCTGTCCTGAGCCTCTTACATCCCCAAACTCCTGCACCCCCACATCCCCAGTCTTCTGCCACAACACTCCTGCACCATCCACACATCACAAATCTGTGTCCTGAGCCCATCATACTCACAACCTCCTTGCCCTGAGCCCCACACACATCCAATCTAAGCTCCTGCACCCTCACATCCACAAGCCCGTGGCTTGCTCAGCACCCCAACCTTCCACCTGAGCCCAACACTCCCCAGCCTGGAGCCCCCTCCCCGAGCCAGAGTCCCCTTCTCCTGCATCCAAATTCCCTCCCAGAGCTTGCACCTCTCACCTCTTCCCACACACAAATCCCTCATTCCCACCCCACAGCCTGCACCTCCTCACTCAGGCAAGTGAGAGCGTATAATGGCTGGGGATAGCAAGATGGAGAGGAGGGCAACAGAGAGGATGGGGCCTCAAAAGGGTGAGGAACATGATTTTAACATATTGGTGGGTTCCTTTTTTTTTTTTTTGCTCGACAAACCTAGGCATGGGGCACCAGTTTAATAATCCTGCGCAAGGCACCATAAATCCTAAGGATGACCCTGCAAGTTCCATCCCCGACAGATTTGCCCCAGATCCCTAAATGGCCCCCTCAAGGATTGAACTCACAATCCTGAGTTTAACAGGCCAGTGCTCAAACCACTGAGCTATCCCTCCCCCAAGATATTTTTGCTTGGGATAAACAAATGATAGAAAGGAGCATGCGAGTAGATGTGCGTGCACACAATCCTTGTGTAAACGCATACATTGCTAATCAGCCAAACTATTTAACTAATTCAAATTGAGCACAGTTTCAATTGAGCACAACAAATTCAATTGAGCACAGTTTTAAGATGAAAGCTAAATCTTACATTCGGGTCCTTGCAGAGGTATCTAAATACCAAATTCATAGGTTCCAAAGTGGAAGGAACCATTATCATCTAGCCTGACCTCAGGTAAATAACAAAAAAGTTCTTCATAATAATTCCTAGATCTTATCTTTTGCAAAAAGAACTAGTCTTGTTTTATGGCCAAACTCGAGGGGCACTTTTAGTCCCAAATGATACATAGATTTAGTTGCACTTAAATCCATTGGCAAATACACTCCATGTGGCTTTAAATAACATAAGGGATATCGGATCTCCCACACCCTGAATAAATAAAACATTAAATAAGCCTAGCCCTAGTGCATGCTCTGATATGCTGCTCATTTACTGTAAATTTGGTAACGTACTGTGAAATCTTGGTGTTGATAGTTGAAGTTAGACCCTTTAAGTTTTATTTTTGTAGATTTTTTTCCTTTCTAGGTGTTTACATAAAATGCCTTCTCTGGAGGTAAACATTAGGATTAGATGAGACCAATAATCTGAACAGCATGGTAATTCCTATACACAGCTGTGTATACGCACTAAGCGTACTAAAAGATGGAGAATAAGAATTATAGAGTGTCTTGTGACAGTCAACTCCATAGATCCAATTGTTTTAACTCACCAGAAAGCGAAGTTGTCTCAAGCTAAATCCTGGAGTCTGATCGATGTGATCCACCAGTCGTCCAGGTGTGGCCACAATGATATCAGCCAGACTGCAGTAACCCATCTCTCTGAAAAGACAAGTGTCCTGTCACCAAGCTGCTCTCTGCTGTGCACAATAGGGTGAGATCAATTTAACACATTCCCGTGACCAAAAAATACCTGGGTTGCTTTTCTTTCCTGTCTCACTTTTTTAATTGAAGAAGTTGTTTATATTAAAGAATGTGTCTGTATGAAACTTGCTTTGCTCTGGAGAGCTGAGATGGAAACTCAGTTATTTCAGACAGATTAGGAGAATGCCTCACTGCTAAACAATTGGAAATGATCTGCTGTGCGATGCTTTTTTAGCCAGTGTTATAATGTGAGCTGCAGGCTACAACCTCTAAGGATACGAATGGTTAAGCAGATGACTGGTAAGCCTCACCCTTTCCTGGTTAGCTGGTAGGGGCTGGCGCAGCTCCCTGCCTGCTGCAGGTAGGGAGTTGCTCCAGCCCCACAGGGCCCACAACAGGCATGGGCTGCTCTGGCCAGCAAGCCAGAACAGCCTCTGTCCATGTCGGGCTTACTTTAGCCGGTTTGCAAGAGCAGCCCTCGTCTACAGCGGGGGATACTCCAGCCTTCCTGCCCCTCTTTAATCAGTTAACAATAATGTTTAACTAGTTAACCGATTAAATGGTATTTTACATCTCTAATCACCATTGCCCCAATCCTGGATTCACTTAAAACAAATGTTATCTATGTTGGAGAACCTAACTGCAAAGATAAGAGGACAGACCTGAAACACAGTCCAAATAAACAGCAAACCTATAAAATAGCAAGTGGACAACAAAACAGTTTCCTGAGGCATTGGTTAGAGACCCGTCTGAAGGAAACAGATCTTATCAAATCAGACAAGAGCAGAAAGCACTAAGTGCTAAGGACCCACATAAGGAGGGACATCTTCCAGAACCTAACTGCAAAGATAAGAGGACAGACCTGAAACACAGTCCAAATAAACAGCAAACCTATAAAATAGCAAGTGGACAACAAAACAGTTTCCTGAGGCATTGGTTAGAGACCCGTCTGAAGGAAACAGATCTTATCAAATCAGACAAGAGCAGAAAGCACTAAGTGCTAAGGACCCACATAAGGAGGGACATCTTCCACTCCTCTGATTTCATGACCAATTTGATTTCTGAAGGTGCAACTACCCGAGTACACAGCTGAGCCCAAAGACAGGCCACTATTGCACAAGTAGCAGATTGTACTCAAAGTCACAGACACTGTGTTTCTACCCTATTAAAGTCAACAGAACTTTAGAAATCATAGCTATTACCAGATAATGCTGCTCCAAGGAACTTTGGGCAAGCAGAGATTAACCAATATCCAATATGAACCTCTCACCCTAACCTGTGATGCAACAGCCTACAGTTTGACCTCGACAAGCACAGAGATAAGGGATTGTGACATTTGAGCTGTAAAACATTATCCAAAAGAATATTTAACCTACGTTCTTTGGACAAGAGTCTCCTGCTCCTTCGCGAAAGATTTCTGCCCAGTAACCAAAACAACCTTCAGACCTGTCCCATCAGTGTAGATGTTGAATACTTTACTCACCTGCAGGGAGGAAATGGGATTTGTTAGCTACTTTGACAGCTGTTTATGATGATGCTTTCTGTTATGTTAGTCAGCATCAAACCCACGGTCATTCTTGAACCTTCTTCACATGGTACATCTCATGTGTGTTTGGGCAATGACTTAAGTTCAGCTCAGAGCAAGGGAGGAAAAAAAGTCTCTTACCTGCTGTGCCAGTTCTTTGGTAGGCAAAACTGCCAGGGCTCGCACCTGGCAAACCACTCGTTCTAACAGAGCCTGCCAAAACAAAAACCAAATAAGCACTTGAAAACTAAGGAAGTCTCTGAGCCCTATCTGTGGCATCCCAATAATCCCCCAACACTTATTAATTCATTTATTCCCCTCCAGCTTCCCCAACTCCTCACATTATGTCCATTGGTAATGAAAGCCAAATGGGGAACTGAATTTAATGGGAGCTGTATCCAGGCAACTTTGAAGGTCCAAGTCTCAGTGCTTTTGTTGGGGTTTCTTTCTGACTTTGACCTACCTCAGCAGGCTTCCATTTTACACCCCTGGTGACAAAGAAAGGCAGTTGTGGCTCTCTCTGTTACACCTTGGCTGAACTCACCTGTACCACTGGGATGACAAAAGACAGTGTTTTACCACTGCCCGTCGGAGCCGAGACACAGATATCGCTGGGCTGATATCCTCCTCTCCCTACCAAAAAGCCACTGGATACACTCTCTAGAATAGCAGGAATAACCTCACCCTGGACTGAACAAAAGGAAAATGGGGTTCAGTACAAAGCAAAGCCAAAGTCTATCCTTCAAATGCTATTAAAAACCATACAATGCCAATTTTTTGCTGTGTCTTGGAAAGCCTTGTGTTCTCCCTGCTATTAAAGTTAGATTTTTTTGGTGCAAATACAGGACATCTAGGGTTCAAAAGAGTTCTTCACTGCTTAAGGGGAATCCCAATTCATTCTGGAGAAGCTATTTCACATCCTTTGATCAGGGTCTTTTTTAACTGGCTATAAGTGAAAGATTAGATCAATGTATATTGCTTTGGAAAGTGAGCCCTGACTAGATCTAGGCAGTGATTATGGGGTTTCCCTATACACGTAATTCAGCTGTCCCTAAAGTTGAACTCAGCACCACTTTATAGCTCACTATTTATTTTTTCTTGTTTGAGTATGTATCAAGACGATGAAAGTGTGAACAGCATGACCGTGACAGGTGTTTAACAAGAATAACCATTTAGCTATTTAGAATATTTTAAAATCTTCTTTTCACTAGGAGACAGCACAGAGTCTGTTCCTTCAAGGCTGTAAGGGCTGTTGGTTATGGTCTGTCTAAACAGATAGTTCTTGTTTCCATCTGGAGCTAGTCCGACAAGGGGTTAAATCAGGCCTGGGTACAATACAGCCCAGGGGCTGCCCCCCCGGCTTGCCCCACAGAGAAATGTGACTGCAGGGCTGCGTTTCCGTTTTGAAACTGGAGGGAAGGGGGAAGTTTTAGGACTTGCCTCATCCCCAGCTCATTCCCATTGGACGGTTTCTGGCAGAATCCGGCCAATGGGAGCTGCTTGTTGGAATAACAGGCAGCTAAGAAGAACCCCATCGCTGCTCCTCAGCTCAGTTATTCATGAAGCACATGGCCAAGCAGGCAGGCTGGGAAACATTTTAAGTCTGCAGGCAGCCAGACCTGTTTGGCAGCTGACAAGTGAGTCTCTTGGCCACAGCCTGCTTCTGGCACCCCAGCCCTTTCCTGCCCCGACTCTCTGCCTGCTCCCTACCCCCCACTCAACATACCCAAACCCTCTGTCCCTAGGGCTGCCAGATATTTTCACAAAAAATCCCGAACATGTGGGGAAAAAAATTGGGTGAGCTAATTCCCTAACCCTAACACACGCTTCCCCCGCCAGACGCAGCAGGGGAAAAATGTCCCTGCCGGCCTTCCATCCGAGAAAAACAGAACATACTGGACATTTTACATGTCTGGTATTTTCTGTTTTTTTTTACTGGACAGAAGATGCAATTACCGGACTGTCCGGGTGAAAACCAGACACTTAGCAAAAGAAGATGCAATTACCGGACTGTCCGGGTGAAAACCAGACACTTAGCAAATGTATCTGTCCCTCTCTTACACCCATACCCCCTCCCAGATCTACCCTAGGTCACATCCCAAACCTTAGCACTCCAGTTCTCTATCCTTGGTAACAACCGCCTACTTCATCCCAACTCCCTCGCAGACTCCAGTCTCCCTCCTGCACCCCAATCCCTTACCCCAAGCTCCCCTCTGCACTCAACCTCCATCCTAGACCCCGTACCTCCTCCATTAATATAATGAAGAGTGTGGCCCTGGACCGCTTTCCAAAATCTTGGAGTGGCCCCCCCGTCAACAATTATTGCCCACCCCTGGGTTAAATGCTGCCAAATCATGTCAACTTCAGTAAGAGCTGATGGTGCCTAGTTCCTTGTAGTACTGGTCCTTGAGGATAAAGTTACATATGAAGCAAGAACAAATTAGCCACGATAAAAGCTTTGACTGCAGCCTGTGACTTCTCTCCCACATCCTTCAGGAGCTCTAGTTTATTAGCCAACTTTGTACTGAATATCCACTAATAAGTTATTTACAAACCTCTTCTTCAAAGAAAATCATATCCTGACAATGGGAGGCTGAGCCATGTCATGTGTTAGTTTTATATTACATCTTTTGATGAAGAAAAGCTATTTACAGGGACAGTAAACTATTGAACTTACTTCCTGCCAATGAGTACTATAAATTGAAGACAGGGAATTCTGGACCTCAAAGTATAAGAGTCCATGATTGAAGTAAGGAGAGTAATTGAGGATAGTATACTAGCAATTCATTAAACGCTGCTACATGTCTTAGCACATCAAAATATTAAATAGTTAAATAATTTAAATCAGAAAAGATCTGAGCTAGATCTGAAGTTCTTTGATGGTCTGCTGATAAAGACTAAGACCTGATAACTAATTGCATTTGTGATTTGGATTTAAGTTTTTAAAAGTGAAAGGTTAAGGCAATAACACATTGTAATAATTCTATATTTGTTTTAATTTCTTAGTCTTAATCAAATCAATAATGTGCAATATGCATGCTAGCAACAAGACCTTCTAGTGTTGATTTTACAGAGGTTTATCCCTATCTGGCCTATGTCATAGCCTCTACATATACACTGTAATAGCTCAGCTCCACCTGATGTCCAAGTATTAAATAGCAAGTTTTTTCTAAGATGAATCAGTCTATGACACAAATAGGTACCTAATTCTTCTCTCCAGCTATCTTTGGTAATGCAGATGACTGATTCCTAAGTAATCACTATACATTTTGTTTTAAATTAATGTAATGTCAACACATCCACATCACACTGGTTAAAGCATGAGTTCCCAAACTGGGGGAGCGTGAAGAAATTCCAGGGGGGTGCAAGGCGACCCAGCCTTCCCTCCCCCATTAAGTTTTGCTGCCTCAGTCAGTTCCTTTTTTTTTTTGGATGCAGATGACTGATTCCTAAGTAATCACTATACATTTTGTTTTAAATTAATGTAATGTCAACACATCCACATCACACTGGTTAAAGCATGAGTTCCCAAACTGGGGGAGCGTGAAGAAATTCCAGGGGGGTGCAAGGCGACCCAGCCTTCCCTCCCCCATTAAGTTTTGCTGCCTCAGTCAGTTCCTTTTTTTTTTTGGTTTAACAAGTTTTGCTGCTTTGGGGGGGAGGGGGGGAGTGGGAGGGGGGCGTGATGCCAAAAAGTTTGGGAACCACAGGGTTAAAGTATCATAGTCTTATCAGCTTTTGAGACATTTTGGAATTGTTTTTATTCAAAAAACCCACTCATTACCAGTATTCCCCGGAGTTCTGATTTTCTAACATGTTCTTTATGTCATACCTACACACATACACAACACGAGCAGTTTTAGTGATGGAGAACTTAGCTGATTAAAAAAAAGAATACAAAAAAGGTACCTGGGAAAAAAGACTCTATTCCATTTATTTGCAGCTTCTTCAACAGTTTGGGATGAATTCCTGGGACTTCCTGGATTGGAACTAAGTTATCTTTTAGCAGGCCACTGTGGTAAGATAGGCTGAACCTAGAAACAAAAAACTGAATGAATCCTGAAAGAGATTCTCAGCAGCTGGTCTGAAGCTGATGTTCCTTTAATCCATTGTAAAAAGTTAGTGTAACAAAAAGCAGTAACTAATTAGTATCCAGTATTTTAAAAATAATTATCATTGTGGCAATATTTTATGTATTTGGACTAATCGTTTTCTATAGAAAATATTATCCTCTGAACATACTGTCCCAAAGTAACATACACAAGCAGCATGTTACAGCCATGAATATAAGCCAAATTGTTCATCTCTGCACTTCAACAATTAAAAATTTAGTATCTGCATAAAGAGTGTTCAGGATTAGGACCTTATTCACTGACCACACCATTAAAAATGAGAAACAGTAAAATGCTTGTAGAGCAAACTGAAGTCAAAAGGCTGTCAACCATGTATTATATACATCAAGATTACATTAATCACTGTTTTAAGTTTATCAAGATGACTGTCTAGTCAATGAGTTGTGTTTGTACGACTTATCTGAAATATTTTATCCTTTATAGGAAACAAGAAGTTATTTAGAAAAGTTAGTAAGCCATGTATTAATGAAATTACTTCTACCATAAAGCCTAACGATGCTATATATAAAGCAGTGGTCTCCAACGTGGTGCCTGTGGGCGCCATGGCGCCCGCTGGGCCATTTATGTGCGCCCACAGAGCAATCTGGGCTGGCCCCGCAGCAGGTGCCAGCCCCGGACGGCCCCTGCCCGGGGTCACAGCACATGCCAATTCCGGCCCCGGGCACGCCTGGGGTCGCGGCACATACCGGTGCCAGCCCCGCGGCAGTCTCTGCCCAGGGTTGCGGCACGTGCCAGTGCCGACCTTGGGTGTGCGGCGCATGCTTGGCCCCGCTCCCAGGCACCCAGCAGCCCCAAAACGTTGCGGATCACTGATATAAAGCATTTTAGAGAATGCCTTCTCTCACCAAATAGCACAATCAGATAAAAATTCCTTGCCAATTGGTTACCTTTTGAACTGATTTTCTGTCATACCCTCCAAGAACCAACAAACTAGAGGGTGGAAATGTTGCTTCTTCATTCAGAATAGGTATGCTTGCTTCCTTCTTTGTGCTCTGAGTCTCTTTAACTTCTTCACTACTTTCTTTCTTGGTATTTTCAGCTCTATTTGTTTCCACTTCTGTTGGTATGTCCCTCTCCTCCTCCTTCACAGTTTGGTTTCTCTTCAAATTACTTTTATTTTCCTGTTGTCTACTGTTTTCTTTAAGTTCTGAAATTTTGGAAGGATTAAAATGCTAATAAGAAGACAGTCGGGCAGATAAATGGAAGTATTTTTATCAATTAGGGTTTCTAGGACCTAAAAATCCACCTACATTCTCATCCTTCTTTCCAATCCTAAGTGTGAAAAGCTTACCACTGATTTAATAGTGTCAAAAGGGCAGCTAAAGCTGCATTTCAACCTTATGTAGCTCCCTTACCCTGAAACACCAATTTTCAGGCTCTAGTTGTAAACTAGACCCAGAAGTTAGGAATTTTGCGCTTCTAAAATAAAATAAAAATTGGACATTCAATTTTAACTATTAAATCTTAATCTTTCAGGAATCAATCATTAAAAAAGGGATAGAGAATAAGACAGAGAATATATTACTACTTCTATATAAAAGCAATGGTATGCCCACATCTTGAATACCACGTACACATGTGGTCAACTCAACTCATCTAGAAAAGATATATTGGCATTGGAAAAGGTTCAGAAAAAGGCAAGAAAAATGATTACCAGTTTGGAATGGGCCCCATATGAAGAGTGATTAAAAAGACTTGGACTTTTCATCTTAGAAAAGAGGAGACTAAGGGGGGATATGATAGAGGTCTATAAAATCATGACTGGTGTGGAAAAAGTGAATAAGGAAAAGTTATTTACTTAATCCCACAATATAAGAACTAGGGGTCACCAAATTAAATGAATAGGCAGCAGGTTTAAAACAAAAAGGACTTTTTCCTCACTTAGCGCACAGTCAACCTGTGGAACTCCTTGCCAGAGGATGTGGTGAAGACTAGGACTTTTAACAGGGGTTCAAAAAAGAGCTAGGTAGATTCATGGAGGTTAGATTTGTCAACGGCTACTAGCCAGGATGGGCAGGAATGGTGTCCCAGCCTCTGTTAGTCTGGAAATGGGTGACAGGACAGGGATCACATGAAGACCACCTGTTGTGTTCCCTTCCTCTGAAGCATCTGGTATTGGCCACTGTAGCAGACAGAATACTGGGCTAGATGGACCTTTTATCTGATCCAGTGTGGCCCTTCTTACGTTCTTAGATTTGCTTTTACCCGTTTCAATTTTCTTTTGAGACATACTTGGTTTTTTTCCATTTTCTTTCTTTCTTTTCTTTGCTGGAATGTGCCCATTGACTGCCTCACCAAGTAGGCCAGAATCTGACCCTCGTGAAGGCTTCTCAAAATCACTACTAATTTGGTGGATCTTCCTCAGCTTCTTTTCCCCTTCTCCAGGGGAACCCTCATCACTGTGTCCTCTCTTCCTTTTCTTTGTTTCTCTCTGTGATTTATGGTTATACTCAGATTCAGAGTCTCTGTGTCTGAGCTTCTGATCGAGTTCATCTTCTGTCTTCTTTTGTTTTAATTCATCAGAAGACAAAAGCACTTGCTGCTGCTTTTTCAGTTGCCTGGCTCTAGCTTGTTCACGCAGACGTTCTAACAGGACCTGTGATCGGTCCTCAGCATCCTCCTCCTCATCACCAAGGTATCTGAATGTTTCATAAAGAAAATGCTTTAAACATATCACAGTGGCATAGTGGGCACCACAACAAGGCTGGAAGCACCCTTTTCACACCATTATTGTCAAAGAAATGGCAACAAAATCCAATTACACAGTTTACTAGAACTAGATACTGTAGTGAGGCACAGCAATCTAATCCAGTGGCTCTCAACCTTTCCAGACTCCTGTAACACTTTCAGGAGTCTGATTTGTCTTGAATACCCCCATGTTTCACCACACTTAAAAACTACTTTTTTGCAAAATCAGATATAAAAATACAAAAGTGTCACAGCACACTGTCACCAAAAAATGTATTTTCCTAGCTTTACCATATAATTGTAAAATATTCATCTGAATAGGAGTGATATACTTACATGCCAGTATATAGTATATAGAGGAGTACACCCACATTTTTATTTGTACTAACTTCACTAGTGCTTTATCTAGATGAGCTGATGTACCCCCTGAAAGACCTCTATCTACTGCCAAGGGTTCATATAACTGTGGTTAAGAACCACTGATTTTGTCTACATCTTGGGCAGGCTAGCTCAGCTGTTTAATGTGATGCTGTCACAGGATGGCAGCCTGTTTTCTTTTTGGGGGTCCTGGAGCTGGATTCAATGACCTTCTGAGGTCTCTTCTAATCCTCAGATTCTATGATCTTTGTGGCCAATTAAAGAATATTTCCTTCTGTATTCGTGTATTAATCAAAGTAAAACCAGCACGTAAAAGCGAGTCTGTTGATTGCATAAATGCTCCAGCACCGAAAACAACACGGACTCGTTAGCTGAGAGGAGCCATGGCACTAAGGGAGACTGGGGATCGTGGGGGTGGAGGGGTTGCCAACTGATTTGGATGTTTGGGTGGGGATAGCAATGGAGCCCCCCCATCTTTACTCCCCCGCCCCATAGCCACCCCTATACACACCCCTATACACACACCCCATAGACACCCCTATACACACACACCCCTACACACCCCCCCATAGACACCCCTATACACACCCCTATACACACACCCCATAGATACACCCCTATACACACACCCCTATACACACACCCCATAGACACCCCTATACACACACCCCCTATACACACCCCATAGACACCCCCCGGCGCGCGCAGCCCCCACCTGTTGACGAGGAAGAGCGCCATGGCCCCGCGCCTCCACTTCCGGCGCTGGGCACCCTCGCGCGCACACGCGGGT